AAGAAAACCAAAGCAAATTGGTGTATAATATTTTATAAGTTACTTGTAAGGCATATGATCAAGTTGTTTCATGTTGTGCAGAGAAAATTTATTCTTAGGTATAGAAATCTCATTCACAGGGAAAATACCCTTCCCAATTTTAGAACAGATGCCACCTTTTCACCCCCACATTATGATCACAAAACGATGGTGAATCCCACATTTTGAGTGCAAGGACATCTTGGAATTCTTTTAACTTCTGAAAATGCTGCAATGATGAGTGAAAGGAAATTAGTTACTCTTGGATTAACGGCTAAAGCCATCAAGGTATCTGAACTTACCGGTATATATTATGCTCATTCAATCTTCAAGCCCTCCTTCCTAAATCAAGACACTACTAGTTGCTTTTTTGCATGCATAATTGATGCATGATGCATTTAAGTTATACTATTGCAAATACAACCCCCATCACTTAATAAGAAATTACACTCCAGTCTGAGAAAAACTGCAATGCAAATTTAAATTGATTATTCATTTTTGATTATATATTAATTTCCCTTTATTCTTATCCTAATATTTGACCAGCAATGCCCTCAGTATTCCTCAAAACAATTCTCATTGGTGTAGTTTTAAGCTGTAGAATCATGCAACTGGACAACATGGAAATGCATAACAATAATATGTTTTGAAAAGCAGGCTAACACGCAGTTGTGACTGAAATAGAATGCTGGGTTATGGATCATCTGGATGAGTTGTTGGATGATGCCAATAAAATGGAAATTGAATAAAGAACAAAATGCAAAATGTAAATGTGTAGGGATGGTGAAAGTAGGGGTGATTTTAAGGAAAGAAAAATAAGAAAAGTCAGAATGAATGGTTATTGTAAGTAGATATTGTTACATTTCTTGTAATTTTGGCCTACTATTTCTTTATTCTTTTCTGCATAATGCTGCTTACCCCCCCCCCCCCCCCCAAAGTAATAGCATGATGGGTATGTATATTTATACACATTTGATTTTGATATATAGCTTGGGAAACAAATGTGTGACATCAAGCCATTCCTAGGTAGAGTTGCATGTCTTTTGACTGTACTTTTGTACATGCTATTGGATTTCAGACTGTCTGGTAAAAACGTTGCATATTTCATCACTGAAGAACAATATGCCAGCTGCCAATCTCTTTGGGCTGCTGGATTACAGACATCTGGAGTCAGAGGCATCTGCACTATTAATCAAAGGTTGGTGCTACTAAGTGTTTTTACCACCGTTCTGTATTAAGAATAGAAAAAGATGGAAGATAAATTAACCCTAACCCTAAACCTCCCACCCTATTCTTTGTGATTGAGATTATGAAATTATAATCTCATCTAGAGGCAGAGCAATCTACCACACCCTGAGATAGGAGGAGGATCTGCTACTCAAGACTAGTTGAGACTTTACTCCCCATAAATGTTGCCAGTTGTCCCCTCCTGCTAAGCTTCTGGACCAGTCACCTTCTGAGTATCATTCGTGGGATATCCTGCATAAGCAATTGGTAAGAAAATAAGAGAGAGACATTTTAATATAATGGTTAAGGCACTAGGCTGGAAACCAATTGGTCATGAATTGTAACCCTACTTTAGGCACCCGTCTCTCTCTCCCCCCCTCCCCCTCCCTCCCTCCCTCCCCCCTTCCTCTCTCTGCCCTAGGAAGGAGGCAATGGCAAGTCACTTCTGAAATCTTGCCAAGAAAACTGCAGGGACTTATCCAGGTAGTTGCCAGGAGTCAACACTGGAAGGCACATATACTCAAAAAACTAGGCAATCTGGAGAGCTTTGTGTCTTAGAGACAACAAGCATGCTGCTTCATTTGTAAATTAAGATGCAAGGAATGGTCACTTGGCCTTAATTTAATGCCACATCCCAGTCTACCTCTTAAAAAGCTCATTTTTTTCCCAATAAATTTTGAGTTAACCCTGCTTTGTTATCTATATACTACATTAACATGAGGTGCCTACTTGTAATTGGAAATACTAACTGACCCACCAAGCAGCTTCCCAAATGCCAACAGGAACAGAAAATAATACATAGCATTTCTTTGTGTCAATGGTGCTGTTTACCAATTTGGATTTGTCTGTTTCAAAGTACTCATTATGGTCTATGGACTTAATTCTCTCTGAGATCCTTCCAGACAAATGGCTCCTACCATTACCTCATCTCTCAACTAGTGTATTCCATCTTTTGTTCTTTCACACATTGTGTGAGTTCAAAGGGGAAAAAGAAGAAGAAGCAGTGTGGAAATATGAAACATTATACATGGAAGATTATCACTTTTTGTGAGTGTAGAATTTCATTGTCCAAGTAGCGTCATTTTAGAATAAAAGCCTTCTCTGAAGCACCATAGGTTAACAAAAGAATAATCTTTATCCATCTAAACACTTCAGTTATTACTTGTAAGATTTATATTCCACCTTTTATTCAGAAAAATACTCCCATATTTTAAGACCTATAGGTCACTGTCATGGTATGCGGTAATGCTGGTTGGGAAGAAAAGCAACCAAGTTTTCTGAGTTATGGGAATCCGTTTGTGTGGTCTTGTTTTTATAACTTTGGTCCAAGACCTTCAAGAAAGTTTTATAAAACAGATTTTGAAAGCTGACCTTTCCCTCATATGTATCTCTTTCTTCAAGCCTGGTTTGACTTATTGAATTCCAATGATAAGGATAATTTTGTTATATGCTTGTTTCCAAATGTTGTTTTTGAACTACTGGATGAACCCAGATTCTACATAGACAAATAGCATAAATTCACTCAGAAAAATATGAGCAGCATTATTTGATTGGTTCAGTAAATTATTGATATACGTAAACCACATGTATTCATCTGAATGTTTTCAATTTATTTTTGGCAATTCTGGTTGCTTTAACACAGTTTTGGAAAAAATTGAAATTAATCAAATATACCGGTATGTTTGTTGCAGCATCTGGTTTTTCTGCTGAAGTTGTCCAGGAGTGCAATATAAAAGATATTAGTAATTACAAAAGGACAGGAAACTATTAGCCAAGGAAAGCAAGCGTTATCTGCAGTGTAGAAATGGCTCCTTATCTATTGCTTTCTAGCCAGATGTGCAAAGTTGTAGCATATATTTCAGCTCAACATCTTATCAAGGGGCCTGTTGTGTAGATGAGCAGATTTGCTCATTGGCTTCTTGTTAATTTTGTGAATCGAGCTAGGAACGTTGCACCCTTTACCACAGTGTATCATGGCAATAGCAATTAATTACAAATAACTAATAAATTTATTGTGTGTCTCCTTTCCTCTCCAAAGTGCTTGTGTCTTCTTATTCTTCTTCCTTTGTTTCCAATTGTTCTTTCAAAAAGTAGTTTTTCAAGAAATGGATTAAAAAAAATACATTGGAGTGGATAGGATGCTGCAATTGCATCTTAGAAAATTGTACACAAATAGTAGCACCATGGTTACAAGAAAGAGTGCAGGAATTCAGTTCTGCAGCTACAATGCTATAAACCTGAGAACAAAAATACAAGTTTTTCCTGCATACACGATATCATATGCTTGTGATCAGCACTCTTTTATCGCTCAACTGGAAATGAAAGGATTGATCTAAAATGACTGATGTAAATTAAGTGTGCTGCATATTAAAAGTATCCTCACACACCTAGGTTATTTATAAGCAAAAGTGAAATCAGTTCCATAGAATGAAACATTCTTAGGGATTCTTCCAAACATCCGACTTCCTATTTATATTTCTCATTAATTCATTAAATAAAAATGATCCACATTGATGGATGCCAGATTTGAAAAGTGCGCAGTTACAAATATTGGATAGCAAAGGACTCAATCATGTGATTTGTTTTTATATTCCTCTATCGTTATCCTACCATATCAAAAAGCAATTAGAACAAAAGAAAAAAAGAAAAAAGTTTTGCATCAAATCCCTCACTTAATGTTTTATCTGCAGGTTTCAAAGCTTTTTGTTCATCCCCTTTTTATCAAAAGTATATGCCAACATTCAAGAAACTTAAGTGGCTGGTCCTTGTAGGAATCTCAGTAAAACAATTAAAAAAAACACCTGCAGACAAGAAAAAAAACGGGGAAAGTGGATAACCAGCACACTATGAAATTAGTGGTGCATGTATTTTACAATTCTCTTAATGTGGCTGGAGAGAGTGCTCGGGAGCAGCACTAGCTCCGTTCATGTGTAAACACAGCTCAGACCATTTACACTACCCCAGATGTAGAAATAATTTTATTTTCTATTTTATTTTCAATTAATCCTGGGGTTAAATTGGTTCCCTAACCAGTTCTTACCTGATTGGAGTAATCCTGGTTGGTGGGAAAATAATTTTGGCTTGACAAATTTGTTAAATTTCTTCCCTGGCTCCACTAGCATGGATATTTCTTCTCTAGTTTCTTCCTGGAGCTGCTTCCTAGCTTTCTAGTGAGTAGGCTAAGGCGTTCCCCTGCCCATGTCACCTTTCCAGTTTCACTACTTGATAATAAACAGCCGAGTCATCAGGATGCTTGTTCCTTAACTCTTTGTAATGCCAAAGACAGAGAGAAAGAGAAAGAGAGAGAGAGAGAGAGAGAGGGAGGGAAGGAGGGAGAGGGAGAGAGACAAGGCCCATAATGTTCTTGTGTCACTTACTAATAAGGCAGGACAGTTTGGTTCAGCTGGAAGCACTTTATTCAAAGCTGCTGATGTTGCCAAAATTAAAGATGAGGTTGGAGGATGGAAGATTCTGGTAGGCCAGTATAGCTTATGTAGCCCCAAACCACCCTTTCCCCCCCTGAAGTTATTTAATTTATAGTCAGCAGAATATACAAAGTAGTGAGCTGCTAATGTTTTGGGGACCATTTGGCAGTTCTGCACACACAAAAATTGCTTCAGAATGTTCAATAGATGAGATCAATCTTCCCCAAATTAGTTTTTCTTCAAGTCAGCAAGGAATTACACCTCCAAAGATATAACAGAGCACCAGGTCGAAGGAATCAGATGCACATTTTTGAATTTGAAATGCAGACATGTTTTATTATGTGTTAGGCAGAAACGAATTATGTTTGTATTAACTACTATAGGTACAGATATATTTACAATACCTCTCGAAAGCTGTCCAAGTGATTGAGCTGGAGGAGATAGGTCGATTAATGATTACCATCATAATAAATGATCATAATAAAATGCTTCAAACAAGCAACAGTTGAGAGCTGTAATCCTAATGCCTCATTTGTAGGTATCCAGAACCAGGCATTTCTAGTTAAAACAATAGTCTAAAATGGGTCCATAACCCCTGGTTCGTGGACTGGCATCAGGGCCATGCAAACAGGCATCCAGTCCATGGAAAAACCTCTCTCCACGGAACCAGGCCCTGGTACCCAAAAGGTTGGGGGCCACTGGTCTAAAATAAGAGAAAACAGAATATAATGTGCTTGACAACATGATAAAATGGATAATCTTGGAAAAACAGGGAAGAGTTCAGAAGCTGTTGAGCATGGAAGGCAGTTCCAGGATTCAAAAGGATTGTATAAATATCCTCTATTTTACTGCATAATGCCAGCTCCTGATAAGAGATTCATATATACAAAAAACAAAATAAAGCAGTAAGATTTTTCCATAACAAACTGCTTCAAACTACAAACAGATAAATGGCATAATTAAGTGATTCCCCATAAATGGGAGAAAAGTCCCAGCACACACATGTTGGGGAAAGTGTCTTTTTTCCTCATATACAGTATATATTTTCTTTGTTCAATATATTTTACATATAAACTTTAATGTGTGATTTCCCTATCCAAAATGATAATCTCGTCATGTAAAAGTTTCCTTAAGTTTCTCCTCCTTCTCATCCTTACAGAATAGAAGTTAATCATCTTTCTTACTTTTCCCATTCTCCGAATAATCATTTAACGTATTCCGGAAAAGCATGATTGAACTGCAATTATTAATTGTATTATTTTCTAGTAGATGAATCATGAATGCAATGAATTTTCAACTAGCTGAAATGGAGGACTTGTCTGAGGAGTCAGGGTGGGTAAATGGGGTTACTAGCTTTTCTATAATAGGACTCTTTATGGTGGTGTTCCATTTTAGAAAAGTAGTTCTGAGGCCTTTGCCTCAGAAGGACAAATTTCTTTCAAAGATTGCCAGTTTCTGACATAATAGATGAAACTCATATTTTTCAAAAGTTCATGTATCATAAATATTGCCACCTGCATGGTATTATATTGATGTGAGGCAATTGGCCTGAAGGGGAAAAAAGATTTAATAATTATAGAAAACTAGATTTTGGAAAATGCGGCTTTCTCTTTCTTTCTTCATTCTGTTGCTTTTGAGCTTATTTCAGAGGGACCGATCTGATGAGGACTTGAGGGAAAATGCCTTTCTGTAGCATATCTTGGTTTTCCTTCCAGTCACTTTCTTTTACTCCCATCCAAAATCCTTTTTCCTAGAAAAGAAAGCAAGCAAACAAACTTCAGTCAGAGCTTTTCCATAAGCACACTCCTGTTCGTTATAATTTAGAAATTTGGAAAGGTGACTTGAATCCTTATGCATAGAAAATAAGTCTTCAAAGATGTTCAGTGTAGGGCATTACAAGTGATAGTCATCATTATGCTAACAGAGCAATGTTTATAAGGGTTGGCTAATCCCTGCAGTTTTCTTGGCAACGGTTGGAAGTGGCTTACCCTTGCTTCCTTCCAAGGGCTGAGAGAGAGGGACCAGCCCAAAATCAGCTGTCTGTCTTTGTGTCTATGATGGGACTATAATTCGCGGTCTCCCATTTTCTAGCCTGGTGCCTTAACCTATAGATACATACACACACATGCATGCACACCATACAGGTAGTCCTCAACTTACAACCACAATTGAGCCCACTGTTTATGTTGTTAAGTGAGACATTTGTTAATTGAGCTCTGCCCCTTTTTACGACTTTTCTTGCCACATTTGTTAAGTGAATCACTACAGTTGTTAAATTAGTAACATCATTGTTAAGTTAATCTGGTTTCTCCATGGACTTTGCTTCTCAGCAGGTTTTCCAAAAGGTGATCACATATCCCCGGGACACTGCAAACCATCATAAATCTGAATCAGCTGTCAAGCATCCCAATGTAAATCATGTGACCATGGGGATGTTGCAATAGTCATAAGTGTAAAAAATAGTCATGTCACTGTTTTCAGTGCCATTGTAACTTCCATGGTCACTAAGCGAACTGTTTTAAGTCGAGGACTATCTATAGCTACTTTTATGGGGGGGAAAGTGTTGCTCAGAATTGTTTCTGCTAAAGGGAGAGTTAATGATTAATGGAGGGCTGTAGTCATATCAGACCCAAACATACAAAGAGAGAGAGAAGTAGACCTGAAACCTAATGGCAACAGCAGTAGCAGCTATGTACTCTCTCAAAACAGCATGGCATTTTCAGCAGGAACATTTGCAGAACAGGCGACTCCAAATTACACCTTACTTTTTGTCAAACGGAGGTCCTGCTTTACAGGGAGGAGAAGGCCCAAGGTTCAAGACTTGGAGAAGGCAACGTATACATCACATCATACTATGCAGAGTCCAATACTGGACCAAGAAGTCAACTCCCCAAAGTGTTCTTCCTTTAATCTCTCTTTGGCAGTTTAGTGTAGTGGCTGCCCCTCCCGAACTGTTCTAGATCAGGGATTTCAGACTCAAAACTACCACGAGTGTGCCTGAGGCCTAGTTAATTAGCCAAGGGCTATGACTCTGAAACTTTTTTTTACCTTGATATAAAAGTCCCTGATGAGTTACTCGCAAATGGTATTACTGTTAAACATATTAAACATTTATTTATTATTATTATTTTTTACCAAGACTGTTATTTTATAGCTGGCCCCGTTTTTAATTTGCTTTTGTTACTGGGTTGATACACGCTGTATTTTTTTTCAGTATCATATTTTCCACTAGGATATTATTACGGATATTATCCTACATATTTTTCAACATGTTGGGTGATATCATCTAGGAATTGGTCCTTCCAAGAACTGCACAAATTCTGCTTTTCTTTTCCTTCTTTCTTGTTTCTGAGCAGAGAGATCTGGCTTTACTGTTTCTCCCACTGACTTTCCCTTCTCTTTTCTATCCATTGGACAGAGACCTTCTTTCACAGCAGAAAAAGCTAGCTTGTGTGCACTCTCCTCCCTGCTCCTTGCTAGGCGGAGACCCTCATATAGGGTGAACATATTTGGTGTTCCTCTTCAGCTCCACTGCTTTTCCTCCCAGTTCCATGGCCCATCTTTCTGGACCAAGAGTTGCCTCCCTGTCACCACTGCTCAGAAGCTCAGGTATCAACTCAGAAGTAATGCTTGCCACAAAAACTATCAGCAGGTAGTATCCCCAATCAGGTGGATGAAGAAACCGATGTCCTATAGGTCAGGACTACTTTTATTGTAATAGATATAATAATAGAGTCTTGTAAGTAGAGACGTGCATCTCCTTCTGAGACATTTTTCTCAAGTTATTGTTTTGGCTTGGGCTCAAGCCCCTCTTATCTGACTTTTGCCTTGGTAGCACTCTTCCTCCTGTCCTTTGAGGTTATCACTTGTGCCCCCTACAGCGGAGAATTCTGAGAGGATAGAGCTGTTTTGTATATGAAGGCTATGGGCATCACCTGTCCCTCAGTGCCTAGAAAGTATTGTTATAAGCTGCAGAAAGTTCCTTGGAGGGTTGCATGTGACCCAAGGACAATGAATTTCAAGTCACTATTCATTGCTTTCAAGAGTTATGGGGTCAAGACTGCCAGTCTTTGATGAAAAAAACATAAAACTTCCAGACTCAAGAGGGTATAGGCAGGACGCTGTCAGAATCTGTTAGATAGGAAGTTGTGATAAATCAGGCAGAATGTGATAAATCAGTGGATTATTAATAGATTATGATGCATCTTGAGCAGAACCTGGTGGAAGAGCTGATAATACGTTTACTACCTTTACAGACCATAATAGTGTTTATTATTCAGAATTTAGTTTCACCAGGCTGGCAGAAAAAAAGATAGTTATGAATGCTACGTGAGGTCCACAAAATCCTAAATCCGAATCTTCATTTGGCCTGGAAGGTCATTGGATGCTTTTGGGCCAGGCACTCATTCTCAGCATATCCAATCTCATAAGGGTTGAGAAGGAGTGGGAAACATTATAGCAGATAAATATCATAAATATGTCTATCAATCCCACGTAGGAGATTGCAGAGGGATTTGATCATGTTAGCTGGATCTTCTGGGAGTCATAGTTCAGTACGACATAGGTGAACTAAGGGTGAACCTCTAAATTATAGCTTCCTTTGCCTGATGTATTTCAAATTGTCATGCCAAGCAAGTCCTCAGATGTTACCTCCGCTTGCCTGTCTGATATCACAAGTATGATATCTCCTTCTCCAAATTGAAGGTGATTGTCGTCTTCTGAAGCATGAGCTTGAGTTGCTTGAGCCTGGAACATAAAATGTGCAAATAATGAAACAGGGCAGCGTAGAATGGGCATCTCAGCTCTTCATCCATCCATCCCACTTCCAAATTGAATACTACAGAAAAGGCTGGAAAAATAATTTTGGAGTAAAATAAAAAAATCAACAATGGTCTCAGGGGTCAAATCTTGGAATTAACACCCTCCCTTAATTCATATCTGGCTTTTTATTAGCTGGGAAAGCCTAAAAGCCAGCTCTTTGATTTCTGTGTCTTACCTTGAAAAGGAACCCCAAGGGTAGCTTGTTCTCATTCTCTTCTTTAGCATCTGGGAAAAAACTAGGAATAATCTGAAGCAAAAAAAATACCATATGGTTATTTAAGGGACAGGGGAAAAGATATTGCCTAGGTATAAGGAGATCTGGAATCAGATCTCTGATTTTCAGATCCTTGAGGAGTGATGAAGTAGCAGCTTTCTACAATTAAAATCTTTCAACATTTTACAGATAAACAAGATTCAGGTGATCCAAAGGTGCTTTTTCAAGAGGCAACTGGCTTTCTGGTTTTTCTTTGAAGACATTTCTCATCCAAGAAGCTTCTTCAGCCCAGAAGAAGACTTTTTCAAGTCCAGTTGCCTCTTGAAAAAGCACCTTTGGGACAACCATGACCTGGATGACTAAGAATCTCCATCGTCAGGATCCATATGAAGGTCTCCCCTACTATTAATCCATGTAGTCTGGTTGCTTTTGGCCTTCTATGCTGTTTTGTCAACCTCCCAAGTAGACCAGTCAGGAAACACAACGAAATGAGATAATTCTTTATTGTAAAGTTACATTAACAGACTCTTATCTCCCGCCGTCACTTTTAACATTCTGATCAATTAGGGTGGATCCTTCCTAAGTTTCTTTCTCTGACTGCTAAGCCACTGGTGCTCCATGTTCTTTTGTCTGATAATTTTCAGCATCTCTTCCCCTCATGCCTTCAGGTCATTCTCACCTAGTATTACAGGCAGGGAGCTATCCATTATGAATTACCATTATAAACCAGGCCAGTAAACCCAACAGATTATAGTTAAAAGCCCTGCCATTATGCAATCCCAGCTTTGTGCCTGAAGAAAATGGAAAGGAGAGAATGACTCCTCCAGGTAGGAGATTTCTTTCTTAGAAAACTTCCAAAAATACCTGTTTAAAAATTCAAAGCGGCTTTTTACATTCAACTAGAGGTGAGGTGAAAAAAGACTTAATTCTTATAATAGAAGTTTCTCACTAAATAAAGACCCTAATGCCTGTAATGAAACCAACAGGATAGCTCCAATTCTTTAGAATCCCTTTGTTTCAGCCCCTTATGATTCTAGCTGTTTAATTTCTTGTTAGAGTCAGACTTTGCAGTGTGTATATTAATTGCATTGATAATTTAGTCATCATCAGCATGCAGAAATAGACCTACTCCCTCACAGAGTGAGAATGGCATGAATTAGCTAACTCAGCTCACTCTGTTTGGGCTGTTGATACATCTCCCAGCTATTGCACTTCCTATGTTGGAAGGCCAACTTTTGCAGTGGGAAACTTACTTGCATATACAAAGATCCCTTCTGCAGATACTTTTATCTCCAGTTTATGAGAGATGTTGAGATTGTCATGATTTCAACAAAATCAAAGGATTCAGTATAATTTTTAATCAGGTAGTTGATTAGTGCAGTTAATGTATCTCATGAAATGACTGAGCTATTTGAATTCACACTACTCAAAGTAGTTTTCAGTGAAAAACGCTGCAGTTGGCATCTTCAAAAACACACTTGCTTTTTTTCTAATTACTTTTTGAAAATTGTGTGTTAACTGCTTTTCAGTTATTAGAATTCTATAATAAAATCTATATACATACATACATACATACATACATACATACATACATATAGCAAAAAGGTGATTAGAACTTTGATTTTGGAAAACTACAGACTGAAGAACCACGTGCCTTTGAAATAAGAATTTGGGATTATGTAGAATCATTGGCATTGGAAATGCTTTTGTTCTGAATCGTCTTTTTAAAAAACAGGATGAAACTGGAAAGGGAGACACTAGAAGGAACCAGAAGGGACTAAAGATTTCAATTAAAGGAGTACTCTTGTATTTGACTTACTAATACAAGTACAAAAAATGCCCCCCAAAGATCCAGTTTGAATCCTGGTATGATACATTTTACCCAGAAGTATTTCCTTGAGAGGAAAATGTATGCATATTGGTAATCCCTATATATTTATTGGTAATTCCTGTACAAAGATTATTTTGTAAGCATTCCTGAAATGTAGAAGTAAACTCATGAGTAGAATGCAGGGACTAAATGATGTAATTTAAATGAAGGATTAGGGCACACTGTAGAGCAGCATTGTATGTGAAGGAAGTACACATAGATATTGAGATTCAGAAATTTAAACATGGGTCCATTTAAGTACATTTGAGTAAGAATACCAGGAGGAAGAAACAAATAACCAAGCAGCAAGCCAGGCAGAAGATTTTCATAATCCTCCCCTCTGGAATGAGGACAGAATTTCCGGGGAGGAGAGCTATACAAAGAATGGGAAATTTCAACTTGCTGGATTTCTGCTAGAAAGGCAATTCAACCTGCAGAGGACCTGTTGATTATCTAATTTTCTAGACAGCTGGAGAAGACCCAAGGGAATTTAATCCCTTACATCTTTCCTAACCAACAGGAAAATAAAAAATAAAATAAAACAAAATAATAAAATAAAATAAAATAATAAATTAAATTAAATAATAAAATAAATAATAAAATAAAATAAAATATAAATAAGCTTTTGGAGCCCTGGGAGGAAATGACCATGTCATCTTGCATTTAAAGCAGAGGTGTCAAAACATATTTTAGGTGCCCTATTGGAATATTTTAGCTTTAGTTGTTTTTCTATGTCTAATTAGCAATTCAAAAAGGGGTCGCTGAGGTTTCTTCTCATCTCTTACCTGAGCTTTGGTACCCTTGGGGGAAATCTCAATTTCTTCCATGCTTCCTTCACTGCTACCGTTATCATCTTCTACATCTCTGCAGCCTTGGCTACTCTCATCTGCTCCGTATTCATCGGCAGCAGACAGGACCTCTTCTGAGTCTCCTTCATCTTTGGTTGAAGAGGGAAGACCTTGGGGATCATCTTCAGAGCAACAGGAGCTCTCCTCAGGTGATCCTTTGTGGTCCTGACCATTAGCTTTCTCAATCTGCATCTCATCCTGGATCTCTTTGGCATGCTGAAGGTCGTGTTTCAGTAGAGTTGGGCTTTCATCCTTTGCCTGGGGTGGAGAACCATCCTCTTTTCCAGGTGTATCATTGGCTTCAATGGTTTCTTCCAAGAAGGGCTGTTGTGCAGGATCTTCTGAATCTTTAGAAATGCTTTGCCTTTTGCCAGCAGCTTCAACCATTGCTTGTGATAAAATCTCGGCCGCAAGGTTCTTGGCCACTACCTCAAGGGTCCTGCCGGAACCAACCTCAAGCTCTTCCAGTTGGGTCTCATGGCTTTTGCCTTCTGTTTCACTACCAGCCTGAGAGTCTGACTCGGCACCCTGGCCAGCCTTGTTTTGCAATTCTGTCACCTCTTCTTTTGCTTCATCATCATATACAGTTGTGGATGCCACCTCGGTGGCTGAAATAGTTTCTGTTTCTTGATTTGGGGCAATGAGAGATGTGGAGAGCTCATTTATGCTATTCCCTGCTGGCAGAAAAGAGTTGCTGGTTGGGCTTACTGGGGATGAAATAACCAAAGAGCCTCTGTTGCTGCATTGTGAGGAAAAAAACATTAACCAGTCTTAGAATATCTGAATATGCAACCTCCAACAATCTAGTATTTAATTAGTTCAACATTCCCCAGCCGGGCAGCCTTCGTATATGTTGAGATTACAAGTCCAAGAATCTTCATCTAAAATTCACTTTGCCCTTCCAATTATGAATTAGGGGAATTCCAGCCTCAAGCCATTTGAGAATCAAAGCCTTATTTAGCCATTTATACCCAAATGAAGGCCATATATAGGTATTTCAAATGCCAAATAAAAGAAGTGTAAAAGCATTAACATACTTTAAAACAGCAGAAAACTACACAGCCAGTTCTGAATGATTGTATGACTTAATTTTTGTGACTCAGTCGGCTGGGAGAACATGTGGTTTGAAGGCTATTCCTCATTAAAGCTCACCTCACGATGCCCTTCAGATTATATTAGACAACCACTCGCAACATCCTAAATCAGTATGGAAGTGAAAAGGGGACTTTCGGGGACAACCAATACGAGCAAACTCAGAGAAGCAGCTACTTGGGACATGCTGCATTCTTTACAGTACTGACACTCATTCAGGTAAAATTCTAACCATCAGAAATTCTTCGGCTTTCCCCACTCCAGGTTGTATTACCCACTAGGTGTTAAAAAACGTGTTACACATTGTCTGTCTCTTACTATACACATGCTTTACATAGACATTGTAAGTATTTTCTATAGTGTAGGGAAAATGGTTCCTTATTGTGAAGAAAAATGGATATGGGGTTCCAGATATCGCAACCGACCACCTGTCACTATAATTGAGCTTCAACTGCAATACACACACCAAAATTGCTGGAAGGAACCACTTCTCTCTTCATTCTCATACAGGTTGTATAAGAATGCAATAGAGCGTGAGGAAAAGAGCATGAATTTTGCAAGGGGCCAGCTGTCTGGTCCCAATGCCCCTTTAACTGCATGATTCCTTTTCACTTGTATGGCAAACATATAGTGTACAGCAAGACAGTTTTTAAATTTGCCAATAGGTAAAATTCAGTACTTGCTCTAATTAAAAGACTCCTTTGAAGATAATTATCTAGAATAAATACTGTTATATTCAAGAAGAGCCTGTGGAATTATTAATTACTTTTAGTTTCAAGCTATCTAAAACCATCTCAATATTTCAGCGGTCACTGAACTTCAGAATAGCTTTACCTTTAGCAGTAATGGTTCGGAAGGAATAGAATCAGCTACTTGTATATTGAAATTATTGCAAAAGCTTTCTTCCTTCCTTTCATTTCTCCCTCCCTCCTCCTCCTTCCTTCTCCTCCATCCTCCCCCTCTCCTCCTCCTCCCTCCCTCTCCTTCCTTCCTTCCTTCCTTCCTTCCTTCCTTCCTTCCTTCCTTCCTTCTTCAAGTTTACTAAAGATGAGTTGCCTCTCCAAAATGCTACCATGTTTGTTTGCTTTTTGTCTGGCTGCTCTAGAGTTGCTACTTGCATTTTAAAAAACCACATCCTGATTTTATGGATATTTTCTTCTAAATAAACTTAACAATCTCTTTTAGTGAAGATGTGTTCTAAATCTTCTAATCCATAACATAAGCAAACAAGCTAGATCACTTGATAGCTACTCGGAAAGAGATTCCCCCCCCCTCAGCATTCCTGGGATGCTACTCAGACTCCTAACATATCTGTAGCAAAAAGGAAATCACTTACCTGGAGACCCCCTTAATGATGAAGACTTTATTGGAATGTTGGTTCTCCAGCTTGCTCATTACATCATACAAGTCATGGTTAAGCTAGAAGCAGGAAGAATTAGGGGAAAAAACCATTTATATTCAACAATCACAAGGACACATCACCATAATCGTAATCTTCAACTTTATTATCACTATCTATTATTATTACTGTTGTCACTCATTCAGCTTATTAACTCTGTTTCCTGAATTTATTCTTGATGAGGACTTCAAGGTGTCATTGGCTGAATAATAATTCTTCCTTCTCCCACTGAAAATGGAACACGTGGCTCAACAATTGAAATATCATTTTCTGAATATTACATACAAATAACATCCTTCCACTTTTGCAGGGCTTAGCGGGACATAGCTAACCTGCAGACATTTCCACACAGAAGAAAACTACAATAGTGTAAAGGAAAGACTTGGGCAATATTGCTATAGAAGAGTCCATGGTTTTCCTGGACCCCATGCATGGTATTTTACAGAGTGCTAGTGGTGGTGAACCGTCGGACGTTATCATCCAGTTGTGCCTTCACACTGTTGTCTCAATCTGTTTGAAATGTGGAAGAGTTGCCTAGTATCTTTTGATTGGGAGATCTAGCATCTCTACTTTGAGAATCATCCTCAGTTAGCATGTAATGGTATATGAGAAAAACCTTGGGAGACAGGGCAAAGAGATGCTGCCTAGGGAAAGTCAGATAAGAATAGAATAACAGAGTTCAGAGGGACCTTGGAGGTCTTCTAGTCCAATCCCCTGCTTAGGCAGGAAACCCTACACCACTTCAGACAAATGGTTATCCAATCCCTTCTTTAAGAGATAAGAGATAGCATAGCCACTGGATAGTGGGCGAGGCAAGCAGCTCAGAACAGACCCTCCCTAGTTTCTCAGACTGTAAAGCAGATGGCAGGAGAACTGTACTTTCAGACTTGCAAGATTCTATTATTAATGTATCTATTAATATAGCTTTACAGTAAAAAGGGAGTAGCTGATGCGGTTGTGTTTCCTGTCTGGGCTGCCTGGAAAGGCTGACACAGAGGGAGAAAATGGGTTTTATCTAAGTGTCTGTGGCTACTGCACATCATGGCAGTTCTTAGCCAACTTTGCCTGGTCTTAAAAAAGTTGGGCAGGGTACGAGCAAATGGATACTTGGATGGGAGACTATAAAAAAAAAATCACTGAGTCATAGATTAAAACATCCCAGATTAACAAATCAATTGCATGTTTTTCCTATATGGATCCTCTGTGGCGCAGTGGTTAGAGTGCAGTACTGCAAGCTACTTCTGCAGCCAGCTGCCTACAATTTGGCAGTTCAAATCCCACCAGGCCCAAGGTTGACTCAGCCTTCCATCCTTCCGAGATGGGTAAAATGAGGACCCAATATGCTGACTCTGTAAACCGCTTAGAGAGGGCTATAAAGCACTATAAAGTATATAAGTCTAAGTGCTATTGCTATTCTACATTCTCGAACACACTAAGAGTTGAGGTTCACTCAAGGAGGCCTTTACTTTTAATTGGTGTGATCAACAGAACTGCCTGCAGAAGCTGACTGGTCCCCTATCCTTTCAACAGCTGAAGCTGTTGAGGGAAGAATATAGTAGAAGGAACTTGCCTTTACCTGGGCAGGCAGGAGGCAGCTTGAATAGTTGATTCAGTATTTGTTATTTGCAGGAAATTTACAAAACTTTATAAATGGGTGTTTGTGTATATAGAATTGGGGGGTAATTCTGATCAGATCTCGTTATTTATTTATTTTATTTAGCGTATGACGTGTCATACATGGACTAGCAATATATATTAACATTTCATCTCGATTAGTAGAACACAATAAAATATAACTGTTAAAAACATCAATGTTCAAATACCAATGGCTCTAGGCCGTCTAACCATTGAAGCACAGCATCGTTTATATTTTTTTAAAATCAGATATTGGACCAGTATATGCCCTTGGCTTACAGCCAGTCATGATGGGATCTACAGTTTGACATGGGATCCCATAGTCACACTGAGGGGGGAATATTATGCTCCATTTATACAGAGAGTCCCAGCAGATACCATGTGAGGTATGAATCAGTGGTGAGATTCAAATTTTTTTACTACCAGTTCTGTGAGTGTGGCTTGGTGGGCATGGCTTGGTGGGCATGGCTTGGTGGGCATGGCTTGGTGGGCATGGCAGGGGAAGGATACTTCAAAATCCCCATTCCCTCCCCACCCCACTAACCTGCTGTGGCGGCTTTCTGGTTTTGATAAATGTCTGCTGATAAATGTGGAAAGGTTCATTTATCAGATCTCATTTATTAGCTCTCATATCTCATGCTTTTGGCACAGGATAAATACGCCTTAGTGGTGAAATTTAAAAAGTCAAGGTAATCAAACCTCTCATGAATTGATAAGGATACTGTCTGGTCTACAGCTGGCTCTGTCCTGGCTTCTAGCCACTTAATTGCTTTTACTTTGGCTGGGTTTGCACCTGCATCATCTAAGGTAGCATTTCTCAAACTTGGCAGCTTGAAGATGTGTGGATTTCAATTCCCAGAATTCTCTGGAGAATTCTAAACAAGCACGGGTGGGGAAAAAGTCATTAGGAGTCTTTTCTAAATAAATTATATGTTTTCCACCCCGGCATATTTACCTTACTCATTTCCTTGTAGAAGATATCTCTCAAATTGGAAATATTCTGGAATATTGTGACATAGCATGCAATTCGACTAGGAAAGAACGAAGACAAAATGAGCAAATCAATGTTAAGTTAGCTGAGCAACTCAATGAGGAGGAAAAAAAAAACTTTTGGTGATCCAAACAACTTATTACAGCAAGAAAACATGAATTACACTTCTTCAGAGTACAGATAAGCCACTTGGCAGTCCACACTCCCTCCCCACCTCTTAACCAGCAAACTCATGTATTTCAATGGCTATTAGGCTAGAATATTTTACCCAACGTGCTAGTTTTCACCAATGGGTGAATGGGATTTTTAATTGTTATGGGAGATACATGTAGTATATAAGTAGTCTTCAACTTACGATTACAATTGGAAGCAGAATTTCTTTTGCTAAGCAAGGTAGTTGTTAAATGAGTCATGGCCAGCTGTGGTGAATCACTGCAGTTGTTAAGTGAATCACATGAATGTTAAGTAAGTTAATTGGGAAAGTCTTAAATGGAGATCACATGACCTGAGGATGCTGCAACCTGATGCAAATACATGCTGTGGCAAATACATTCTTGTGGTCCACCGGTGGCCAGCAAAGCTGTCAGCAGAATCGGACAGTGGGGAGGAACATGGGCCAGTCCTGGAGTCTGGGGAGGTCTCAGACAAGGGATATGTGTCTGACACAGAGATGGGGCCAAGGCCATCTGAGAGTTATGTGCTGACTCCAGAGCTTCCAGAATCTGACAGCAGCGAGGCAGAGGAACAGGGGGAGCCTGTTCCCAGTGCGCACTTGCGCAGAGCTGCCAGAAGGCAAGAACAGTTAAGACAAAAGGAGTGACTCGGGAGTAAGGCTTGGAGATGATTGGCCCCTCCCATAAGACATAAAGGAGGAGCAAAGGGACATGGGCCTTTGCAGGAAGCAACTTTGTTCATTCTGGTTGATTTAAAATTTGAAGCTCTGTGTTGACTTTGTGCTCGACTTCTGTGTCCGACTTCTGTTGGACTATTCATAAACTGTTTGGGACTCATTACGGGCTGTGAATGCATACAATTCACAGCCGTTGAAATTTAAAAAAAAATGGTTTTTGGGAACAGCATGTGATTGTTACTGTCTCAGGAAGCCTTGGTCAGAACATACATGCACCCAAAGTTTGATCACATGACTGTGGGGATCCTGCAATGGTTATAAGTGCAAGGGCCAGTTATAAGTCACTTTTTTCAGTGCTGTAACTTTGGTCATTAAATGAATGGTTGTAAATTCAGGACTACTTGTAAACACAAAATCCTATATTAAAATGTAGTATATTTAATAAATCATGGTCAGGGAAAGGATGGTTTAACACAAGATACAAAGCCTGGGTTTTCATCTGTACTTATCAGATGCGAAGAGGATTTGACACAAAAGATGACAGTTCCTCTTTGTGTTTCTATGAATACCCCTTTTGTGAGAGTATTTGGAAAAATTGAAATCATGCTAATTGGGCATACCCAGATCTACATGTAAATGTAGACTCAATCATCTAGGCCACAAAAAATGTCGATACGTTTAACTTTAAAGTCTGTGACATTTGAGGACTGGGGCCTAGTCTTAAGAATTTTGAGGATTCTTGCGGAAGGAATGATGACATATGATGAACTATAAGAATAACCTGAGGAAAAAGAGAAGAACCACCTCCAAGGTCTGGTTAAAAAAAAAATGAGACCAAAGCAAAAATGTAATTTGAGAAAATGCCTCAGACTTGACCCTCCTTAATTCTCTTGAGGATAAAAGTAGGGAGGAGGGAGGTGCTTTCAGACTTGCAAGATTCTATTACTGTAACCCTATAATAAAAGGTAGTTTTAGTATTCCTAACTTTGATTTTTAAGTCTGGTCTCCTTGAAGGGTTAGCATATTGTGTTAGCAAGGCAATATGGGCAAAGCAATATGGGCAGAACAGCATCACTCCCATGATTTTTTACATTCCTTCTTGATTTGGGAGAAGTTCTTTCATTCTTCATTTGCTAAGCCTGTTCTAGGGATGGCCTAACAGTTTCTATGGCTGTGTTCGCACAACACACTTAACTGTTACTAATAAAGGAGAATATTTGTAGCTCAGGGTTGACATGAGGGGTCCTTGGTGCTCTCTGAGCTTGGCTGTTTTCTTGCAGACGCTTCATTACCCAAACTAGGTAACATCACCAGTGCACTGATGATGTTACCCAGTTTGAGTAATAAAACATCTGCAAGAAAATAAGCTCAGAGAGCACCAAGGACCCCACACTTAACTGGATCAAGAGAAGGCCTACTGGTTGCATTTGTTTTATGTGCAGAACGAACATTTTGTGTGGTTCCAATCCATTAGTTATTTTTCATTCATTCATCTGTTCATTCATTCATTCATCTGTTCATTCATTCATTCATCTGTTCATTCATTCATTCATTCAGTAAGGCTTTTCTGCAAAGACTCTGGATGGCAAAATATCAAATACACAGTATATTGAACATAATACCATAGGTTAATTTAGAATGCAGGGTGGGCAATTTGTAAATGTCACTGTTGTATTTTCCCCTTAAAATACCTGGAAACTATAACATTTTACGACAGTTTGGTGAGGTTAAATTAGACTTGCCTATCCAACTTTGAGTCTGAGTGAAAATTTGAACTTTTATCTGGTACCTAAACCTGCTTTAGATTTGACACTTGAACCAACACATTCCTACTGGCTTTCAGAATGTGAGATTTTAACCTGAGGAGCCCCAACATTGATTGCAGGTGGAAAGAGGCAACAGAGTGCCCAATAAGGTGACATCAGGCATTTCAGGAATTCAGTGTTAGAGAAAAGAGGAATAAATGGGAGAATTTGGGTTGAGATGAACAGCCTAAGAATTTGGGTTTGTTGTGTTGTCTTCTTTTTTCTTCTACAAGCCATTAGTAGTTTCCTTCTTAATCACCCTCTACAGAGAACTAATATTCACTTCACCTCGATTATGCTGCCATCCTGTGGCCACTAGGCCTCAGTGCATCCCCAGCACCAAATACAGTCCCAACTCACGCAGTCTATAATGTGCTTTCACAGCAGAGTCTGGGGTAGTTCAACTTGTTCTCTGCTTTTATTCTGCCACATATGCTTTTCTGTTTAAACAATCTTTGGGACCGTCTGAAGGGTTAAGGAGTAACAGCCAGACAAATACTAGAGAAGAAATTAAAAAAAAGAATAGACCAGGATGGTCAGGCAGAAGTGGTGCAACTATTTAACACATTCTTTGGCTCAGTATTTGTTACAGCAATGGATTTGTTACAGCAATGGATCATGCCCAGTATTTCCTAGTCGAACCACAGACAACTACAGTGATCTAATACATATCGATTTTACAGAAGACAATATTGAAAATCTACGCAATCTAAAACCATCTCTATCTATTGGACTGGACAGAATATGTGCCTACTTCTTAAAAAAGCTACCCACTGCCATAGCCGAACTTCTAAGCATAATATTTGAAAAATCTTTCAGGACCAGCTCCTTGCCAAAACTATGGTCACAAGCCACGGTCATCCCCATCTTCAGAAACGGAGACCCCAGCCTAGTTGAAAATTACAGACCAATCTCCTTATGCTGCGTCACCTGTAAAGTCATGGAATCAATTATTAACCAGTCCATCATCCTCCACTTAGAAACAAACAACCTACTCTCTAATAAACAATTTGGTTTCAGGAAAAAACTATCCTGTAATCTGCAACTCTTACACTGCAAAAACATATGGACTACACAACTCGATCAGGGCAAAGCAATAGACGCAATCTACATAGACTTCTGTAAAGCCTTTGATTCAGTGGTGCATGACAAACTACTCCTAAAACTAAAATCTTATGGTATCTCTGGACATCTGCATAACTAGATAGAAGCATTCCTGTCAAACAGACAACAAATGGTCAAAATTGGGAGCGACCTATCAAATTCTGTACCTGTCAACAGTGGTGTCCCCCAAGGCAGTGTTCTAGGACCAACTCTTTTCATACTCTACCTAAATGACCTCTGTGATCATATCAAGAGCAACTGTGTTCTCTTTGCTGATGATGTAAAGCTATTCAACACCACAGACAATACTGCTACCCTTCAAAAAGACCTTGACTATGTATCAGAATGGTCAATCAAATGGCAACTTCAAATCTCAACAAATAAATGCTCTGTCCTATATATTGGCAAAAAAAATCAGAAAATAAAATACAGGCTGAATAGTCAAGACCTTGTTGATAATCCAAACTCTGTCAAGGATCTTGGAGTACTCATCTCAAATGACCTAAGTGCTAGAGCCCACTGTAACTACATAGCCAAAAAGGAGTTGTTAACCTAAATTACACTAATAACTAGAGCATACTGAACATTTGCTAGACCAATACTCGAATACAGCTCATCAGTCTGGAACCCACATTACGTATCTGATATTAACACAGTTGAGAAAGTCCAGAAATATTTCACAAGAAGAGTTCTCCACTCCTCTACTCGTTGCAGAATACCTTATGCCACCAGACTCGAAATTCTAGACCTAGAAAACCTAGAACTATGCCGCCTTCGGTCCGATCTAAGTATAGTGTATAAAATCATACATTGCAATGTCCTACCTGTCAATAAATACTTCAGCTTCAACCATAACAACACAAGAGCAAACAATAGATACAAACTCAAGGTTAATCGCACCAAATTTGATTGCAGGAAATACGACTTCAGCAACAGAGCGGTCAATGTCTGGAATATTTTACCTGACTCTGTGGTTTCTTCCCCAAACCCCAAAAACTTTAACCTTAGACTGTCTACTATTGACCTCACCCCTTTCCTAAGAGGTCTGTAGGGGGCGTGCATAAGCGCACCAACGTGCCTACCATCCCTGTCCTATTGTTTCTTTTATTTTTTTTATTTTTCTTATATGTATTCATGTATTCATAACTATGTTTTTACTTATACCTATTATCTTGTAAGCAATTGACAAATAAAATAAATAAATAAATAAAGTCTTTTGACTGTGGTCTGATTGGTCTCCTATGATTCCCACTAGAAGGTCACCTTCATTACTTCAGCTGGGAAAGCACCCAAGTCTTATTTTTCTTTCTCACTCTCACTACTATTTTATAGTTTGGAGCAGCTTCTACATTCTATGGCTAAATATATTCCATGTGAGAAAGTAGTGGAGAAAAGGATTCTTAAAGACAAGATAATAATATGAGCACCTGTAAGACTGTACATGCTCCCACAATTACAACATGGTTTTAAAATAAGTTGCTGGGGAGCTGAGTTTAATCATGGAGTCAAATTCTGTACATGTTTGAAGATGGTCTACTGTTGTTTTCAGGTCAACCTTGACTCTGAAAAAATGTCTTCCATTCATTGAGAGTTGGACTTTTTACTACGTGGCATCTTTCCGTAGTTATGTTGTACAGGTAGACCTTGGCTTACAACAACTCATTAAGTGATTGTTCAATGTTACAATGACACTGAAAAAAGTAACTTATGACCATTTTTCACTCTTACGACCCTTGCAATATCCCCGTGGTCATGCGATCAATATTCAGATGCTTGGCAACTGACTCATATTTAAGACAATTGCAGTGTCCCGGGATCAATGATCACCTTTTGTAAGATTCTGACAAGTAAAGTGAATGGGGAAGCCAGATTCACGTAACAATAGTGGTTCTTACTTAACAACCGTAGGGATTCATTTAACAACTGCAGCAAGAAAAGTCATAAAACAGGGCAAAACTCATTTCAAAACTGTCTTGCTTAGCAACAGAAATTTGGGGCTCATAAGCTGAGAACTACCTGTAACATTTTTACATTTCCATCTTTCCTTTCTCAGCTGCCTCTTGCATAGTCAGTAAATAGATTCCCAGGGTTGAACACCCTAATATGAATGAATAACGAAACTCTTTTTGTTGCCCACGGGGGAATATTTGACCTTTGAATCACAACCCCAATTCTTCATAGGAGAGGCATGGTGGAAATAGAGCTAAAGGTTTTCCGAGTAGAAATGTTAGCTATGTCAACAACCCCAAATAACTTGGCTTCCAGGAAGATGAAGCACAGAGCAAAGAGTCCTCTGAATGTGAGAAAAGACAGAAGCAGCAGCAAAAGGCTTAATTGTATTCTCATGTTGACAGAGAGCAATCAGCCTCTTAATATAGTTTCAGTCAAGGCTGTAATAGAGATTCTATCTCCTGTGCTGGTTAAATATCCAGTAGACATCTCCCAAGTCTGAATTTAGCAATCTAGATAAGCTGTGTAAAGTCAAGACTTGTAGGGTTGCAACCTAATCCTAAAACTATGCTATAAATGGCGCTCCCTCTGCAGTTGCAACTGGATCTTTAGGGTGCATTACCTGTTGTAAAGGTTCGGCAATTCTTCTCGCAGTTCTTTATTGAGTTCCTCAAAGACAGTTTGGGCTTTATAGAATTCCTCTTCAGCCTGTGGAATCCAAATATTAATTAAACAGAAACTGCAGACTGGCAAGGCTGCCAAGTATTCAAAAGTCCAGATTCCGGTTACACCGTCTTCTGCAGAGATGCCTAACCCTTTTTTTTTTGAGACTGGAGGCTATTCTCCAAGAAATGCGCCAAGCCAGGAAAAGTATGTGTGTGGGCCAGGTTAAAAAAAAACAATTAAATTTAATTTTACAATTTCTTTAAATGGTAATTAAAATTCAATTTAAACAATTAAATAGAATTATAGTTGTACAATTGATTTACTTTTTTAAATTTTCTCTTCTTTGATGGGGAAAAAAATGCAATCACTGTAACTTTTGAGAGCCTCTCACTTCTAAAATGTAGGACTGACTGTGGCTTCATGTTATCTCTTTGTGCTATGCTCTTTACACAAAAAGTTAACTGTGTGTAAGCCTATCTATGACTTGTTGACATTCTACAAGCACAGAAAAGCAGAGGGATTTGTAGAGCCCCTGAGCTGCCTTTCTCCATCTTGCTATTTTTTCATTCTATCTTTCCATAAGTTGATGCTTTCCAGATATGCTGGAACTGGAACTCACTTTCACCACATGAGCTGGAAGTTCTGGACAGCGCCATGGCAACACACATGGAAGAGATCAGCTGGAGAAAGGTTGATCTCTACTCAACTTTCCTTCAGCACTTAGTTCTTTCTGTTTTTCCTTCCCCCCAAAATATAAGGAAAAACAAATCACTTGGAGCAGTGTTTTTCAACTTCAGCAACTTCAAGATGCATGGACCAACTCCCAGAATTCCCCAGTCCATGCATCTTAAAGTTGCTGAAGTTGAGAAAGAATGTTCTAGAGAAGAAGTAAGAAGAAGATGCTCTTTATTCTCCATTGCTTGCTACCAGAAGCAGCCTTCTGGATTTTCTCAAACTGCTTAGATGTTGCTTTCTCTCTCTCTCCAGAGGCTACACAGGGAAGCCAGAGCAGTTTTTTCTTTCTGTTGCTCACTTCGGCTTATATATTACTCCTTTAGCCATTGTTTTTCCTCTTTGAATTTTGAAGGGATAATTCCTGACCAATGAAACCATAAGTCCTACAGAATTTGTTTTTAAAACGTAGAGGAAAACAGCTGATGGTTTCCTTTTCTCTGTACATTTAGCTGCTATTCCTCTGGCCTTATCTATCTATGTCTCTTTTGGAACCGGCAAAGTCTCCTTTGATGTAAATATTTGTAGGATAGGAATGCACATTGGCCACCTGCAGGGCTGAAATCCCCAAATGGATCAGTTCAACATCTTTCTGAAGGAGGTTCAGGAGTAAAGTAGACGTCTTAGTCCATTTGTCCCCTTAGCCCAGGGTTGTCAAACTCAATTTTATTGAGGGCTGCATCAGAGTTGTGTTTCACCTTGGGAGACCGGGGTGGGCTTGGCCAGGGTAGGCATGGCCATCTCAACATCACTCATGTCAGGGTTTGTGGTGGCCCAAGCACTCTGCCAATGAAAATGAGCTTCCGAGTGCTGTTTCTGGCTGCGACAGCCTCCTGCAACCTTCCTGAGGCCCTCCCAAACGTTCTTTTCAGTGGCAGGCACCATGGGCCAGTCCTTCACTCTTTCCAGGGCGGCCCCATGGGCCAGATCTAAGCACCCCACGGGCTGGAACTGGCCTCCGGGGCTTGAGTTTGATACCCCTGCCTTAGCCTCTCCATGAAATTCCTCTAGTTCAAAAGCAAGCAAAAAAAAAAGTCTAAAATGTTTCATTTAGCCCACTGGAGGAAAAAGGGGGAAGATCAATGCCACACTTTTTGCCTTAGAACCAAGAACTCCTCCACCAACCAGATTCCTCCAACATATTGATCCTAAGGATGGCAACCAAAGATGGTTTCTAAATCTAATTGGATTCCTCAGAAAGTATTTTTACCTTAGCAATTTTAACTTCATCTTTCTTTTTGGCATTCTGAAGGGTTTCCAAGTGATGTCTGCTGATATCATAATCCACCAGTTTCCGCCCTCTCTTGGCAATTCGCTCCTGTAAAGGAAGAGAACACATCGAGGGTCATCTAGAGACAATGGTCTTCTTTGTGTACTATTTTAAAAGAATGTCTGAATAGCCCTTCTGAATCTGGCCTGCAAAATAATCAATCTTCAAACCACCATTCATTATGCGGGAGAGGAGCAAGATATTGATAAGGATTGTTTTGCACAAGGTCTTGTAGGATTATTGAGAGAATCTCTGCAGAAATTTCATTCAGTGTCTGGAATAAAATTTGGGAGAGAACACTTTTGACTGTGTCTTCGGTATTACAAATCCCACTCAAGAAATATGTAAAAAACTAAAACTCTATGCCAGTTCCTTGTTGCCTGCTCAGTTTGAGCTTCTACATTTTCTGATAGATTTTTCCTTGCAATTCATGTCATCATTGGATTCCAGAATGCTGGTCATTATAATAGGGGATTTGTGTTGGCGGTGTATTGACCTAGCAAAAATGTTGGTATTCCACCTATTTTTATAGTTAGTTATTTTATTTCAGTCACTGACCAGCAAAAAAAAAAAGAGATTTAACTCATTGAATATTAATATAACCTATGCAGTGCAGAAAGGCTAAAGTAAGACAAGCTATAAAATAATATAACAATATAAGAATAATTTTTAGAGGATTATCAACATAGAAATTAATACAATGATATTATACACTTTATATAAGGCAATTAAATGATTGATTAGAACGTATTTTATAAATATCGATGTCAGTGGTGACCAGCATTTTGGGCATAAACTAGAGGTATCAGGATTAAGATTGTCTATGGAAATTCTGTCATCGAGGTCATCCATTGTCATCCATGAGCAGTGACACATCTTCAAGGGAAAACAAAGAAAGTCCAGTTGCCTCTTGAGACAGGCACCTTTGGGACAGGATTAAGATTGTTCTTCTCCTATTGACATCAAAGATCACTTTCCTTTATGCTCTTTCTTTTCTTCCAATCTGACTCTTTCCTGACTTATTCCTCTAGCCATCTTGGAATTTATGTGGACCAACACATCTGGGGGGGCATCAGGTTAGCAAAAAATTATAGTTCTTCAGCTACTTGACTTCTAAGCTCTTCTAAGAAATAAAGAGGCAGAAAATACTTATCAGGATATATAAGAAATATGCTGTCAGGATGGGAAGAAATTTTCCCATCTTTTTTTAAAAAGTATTTTTTTAATAAAAGAAAAAGAAGTGTGTGAGTGTGGATGTGCATGTGCGCATGGAAATAAAAAGTGTCTGAACACACATGCATACATTTAAAAGAAAGAAAGAAAGAAAGAAAGAAAGAAAGAAAGAAAGAAAGAAAGAAAGAAAGAAAGA